GGAGAGAGAGAGAGAGAAGAGGGGAGGAGTTGATCTTGCGAGAACTTCCGGGCGGGTGAGAATAGCCACTTTCTTTTGATCTCATGGTCTTAGATCTAGAATCTAGATCTAATCTAGTAGATCTAGCTCAAAACGGCCAAAAAAATGTCAAATAGAACTTTGTAGTTCTGAGGTAGCGACTACGAGTTTTAACTGACCGTCAGGTCTTTCTGACTTTCTCTCAACGCTGCCACCCTAAATACACGAAGAAGGATGAAATAAAGAATAACACGCAGACTGTCTAAGATTTTTGAATGAAGGAAGCGTCTTTGAGCTGTTTAGAAAAGAATGGTGCACAACCGTGCTGAATTTGCACCATAATTTAAAAAGTTACGTGCAAAGGTTTTCATTTCCCCGACGTCCGCGCAAAGCTGTGATATAAGGTTAAGAAAATCCGCATCAAGGGCGACGTCCAGGATCGCCACCAAGTTTAGAGGTTTCTACGCTTCTAAGGTAAGTTGTATTCAACCTACTCAAAGCAGACTGGTCAAAAGAGGGTAAACGAAAGCCTCTTTGAGGACAAGAGGGGGCGAAAGCCCCTTTGAGGGCTAGAGGAAGCCCCTTTGAGGGCTAGAGGAAGTGAAAGCCCCTTTGGGGGCTAGAGGAGGTGAAAGCCCATTTGAGGGCTAGGAGAACGGGACCGAAAGCCCCCTTGAGGGCTAGAAGAGGTGAAAGCCCCTTTGCGGGCTAAAAGAGGTGAAAGCCCCTTTGAGGGCTAGAAGAGGTGAAAGCCCTTTGAGGGCTAGAGGAGCTGAAAGCCCCTTTGAGGGCTAGAGGAGAATGGGACCGAAAGCCCTTTTGAGGGCTAGAGGAGGCTAAAGCCCCTGTGAGGGCTATAAGGAGGCGAAAGCCCCTTTGAGGGCTAGAGGAGCTGAAAGCCCCTTTGAGGGCTAGAGGGGAATGGGACCGAAAGCCCAATTTGAGGGCTAAAGGAGGCTAAAGCCCCCTTGAGGGCTAGAGAAAGTGAAAGCATCCCCTTTGAGGGCTAGGAGAACGGGACCAAAAGCCCCTTTGAGGGCTAGAGGGGCTGAAAGCCCCTTGGAGGGCTAGAGGAGCTGAAGGCCCCTTGGAAGGCTAGAGGAGCTGAAAGCCCCTTGGAGGGCTAGAGGAGGTGGAAGGCCCTTGGAGGGCTAGAGGAGCTGAAAGCCCCTTTGAGGGCTAGAGGAGCTGAAAGCCCCTTTGAGGGGTAGAGGAGAATGGGACCGAAAGCCCCTTTGAGGGCTAGAGGAAGTGGAATCCCCTTGGAGGGCTAGCGGAGGTGAAAGCCCCTTTGAGGGCTAGAAGAGCTGAAAGCCCCTTTGAGGGCTAGAGGAGAATGGGACCGAAAGCCCCTTTGAGGGCTAGAGGAGGTGGAAGCCCCTATGAGGGCTAGCGGAGGTGAAAGCCCCTTTGAGGGCTAGAAGAGCTGAAAGCCCCGTTGAGGGCTAGAGGAGAATGGGACCGAAAGCCCTTTTGAGGGCTAGCGAGGTGAAAGCCCCTTTGAGGGCTAGAAGAGCTGAAATCCCTTTTGAGGGCTAGAGGAGGTGAAAGCCCCTTTGAGGACTAGGAGAATGGGACCGAAAGCCTCTTTGAGGGCTAGAGGAGGTGGAAGCCCCTATGAGGGCTAGTGGAGGTGAAAGCCCCTAATAGGGCTAGAAGAGGTGAAATCCCCTTTGAGGGCTAGAGGAGCTAAAAGCCCCTTTAAGGGCTAGAGGAGGTGAAAGCCCCTTTGAGGGCTAGAGGAGCTGAAAGCCCCTTTGAGGGCTAGAGGAGCTGAAAGCCCCTTTGAGGGCTAAAGGAGAATGGGACCGAAAGCCTCTTTGAGGACAATAGGAGGCGAAAGCCCCTTTGAGGGCTAGGAGAACGGGACCGAAAGCCTCTTTGAGGGCTAGCGGAGGTGAAAGCCCTTTTGAGGGCTAGAGGAGGTGAAAGCCTCTTTGAGGGCTAGAGGAGGTGAAAGCCCCTTTGAGGGCTAGAGGAGGTGAAAGCCCTTTTGAACTAGAGGGGACGAAAGCCCCTTTAAGGGCTACAGGAAGTGAAAGCCCCTTTGAATTGCTAGAGGAGGTGAAAGCCCCTTTGAGGGCTAGAGGAAAGCGGGACCGAAAGCCCCTTTGAGGGCTAGAGGAGGTGAAAGCCCCTTTGATCTAGAGGAGACGAAAGCCCCTTTAAGGGCTACAGGAAGTGAAAAACCCTTTGGATTGCTAGAGGAGGTGAAAGCCCTTTTGAGGGCTAGAGGAAAGTGGGACCGAAAGCCTTTTTGAGGGCTAGAGAAGGCGAAAGCCCCTTTGAGAGCTAGAGGATAATGAGACTGAAAGCCCCTTTGAGGGCTAGAGAAGGGGACGAAAGCCCCTTTGAGGACTGGTGGTGAAGGGTACGAAAGCCCCTTAACGTCCTTCTGAAAGCTCCAGGAGGGACAAAAAAACAAGCATGTAGGGCTTAGACGAGAAAGGAACACTATCCCTACTGAGGGCTAGAGTATTTGCCTAAAACTACTGGAGGCTAGAGGAGAGGGGACTAAAAGCTCTTCTCTGGGCTAGACGAAAAAGGGACCGTGGGCTCTTCTGAGGACTAAAGGAGAGGGGAATGGGAAGCCCTTCTGAAGAATAGAGGAGGGATCGAAGTCCTTATGAGGGTTCAAGCAGAGCAGATCAAAGCCCTTTTGAGAGCTAGGGTAATTTTTGTTGTAGTAAGAGTTTTACAGCATCTATCTATACATATTATAGTTGTGAAAGCCCGTCACTTTGGCAGCTTAAAACTTCCCAACCACTTAACTTTCGAATTTGAAAATAATTAATAGTGGTTCAGAATCATTTAAAGGCTGCACTGTTTTATTGATGAGTCAGAAGTCACTGTATTTTAATTTTCAGTTTTTCATTAGTTTCATTTAGATCTAATCTTGGGAAAGTCCGTCTTCTAAGACGCCATTGAAAACAAGTGAGGTTTCCGTTCACTAGCCGTGCGCACTGTTACCACATCTTTGAAATTCTGGAGTGTACAACCTCGAAAGCGGAATAGAGAATCAATCGATACATCTTCTTCTATTATCTATTTGTGGTGGCCGAATTTTGCTATTCAAAATGGTTTTTAATGGTTGCATCGATCGACACGCGGTTTTCGCCAAAAAATTCTTTAAAATATTCTCCAGATCATGATGCCCTTGTTTTTTTCAGTTTTGAGACAGTTTGGCTGCAAAAAGGTAATTTTCTTTGTTTCGCCGATCGCTTTTGTAGGCCGACGTTTCTGTCTCTGTAATTTTAGAAAATCCGGAAGTGATATTTATCGAGGCACATTTTATTTTGAGAGTATAG